CGGCGTTTTCTCTCCACAGCGAGGCGCCTCTTTTCAGCCTCAGCCGCTCTTTTAGCAGCTTTAGCCTGTGACCTGCTTGGCCCACCTGGACCAGCATCCTATTGGTTGAAAACAAAACCCATGCATATGTAATGAGTACACCCAGGTTAGTCTGAATTCACCCGATGCTGATTAAGTATAATGTTATCACACACTTTTTTATTTACACCTTCCACTTACTATTGAACCCAAAACATTAAAAACTTACAACAAAATACGTTTTCCTTTAAAACAAAGGTTAGTATACTAAACTTTATAAAATCAAGTTAAATAATGAATTATGTATTTGGGCAGATATTCTAACCTTGAGGTTGAATTTATCGCAGATTAAAATAAACCATCAACATTTAAATTCTTAATTTTATTTTTAAAGACTCCTCTTTGGTCAACTCTTCACAGCCTACTGTGTGTCATTGAAGATGCGAATCAATGCTGACCAATGAAACATGCTTTTTAGAATGCATTCTACACCAAGATAAGGATACCTGCCCATATATGGTTATGACAGTTTAATGGGTTAATGTAGTCTCATGTGGACACCACGGATGACAAATATGTGATACACTGAACGACTCAATGCTACGCAATAAAGCTCTTACTGTATACAGCATATCCTGGAAACTACTTCAATAACACAAGACAATTTTTTACAAGTCAGTGAAAATCTTTTTTGTATTAGTGAAAATGTCTCTTGGATTATAAATGGTTTTGTCTTCACAAATGCTATGAAATCATCAAATTGAGAAAAATCCTACTAGCCAAAATTAAATGGTTATAACCAGTTTATAACCACCATACCATGCATGGAATAAAGACGCATTGTTTATAGAGTTCGGGGCTAGACTTCATATATATCAATACTGTATGAAAGATCACGTATTACTTATGCAAATTAGAAACTCAGGATCATCTATAAACTGTGGAAGCTAGGCCATAAATTAATTTTTATTTTCAAGAACATCTACAGTGAATTCTGTTCACATTTAATCATTTGGGTGCCAGATATTATTTTTCACGCTTAAAATTCATTGCAAAAATATTTTCACATTATGTACACATTTTTTAGTTAATTCCATAAAGACAGTTTCAGATATTGCTTTTAGTTTTTGATCAAAAAGTTTGTTAATTTGGGAGAAACAGACTATACTTAATCATTTTGTAGATGGTGCTAAAAGTTGACGAACAAGGTATTAGAATTGTTACAATTATTCAAATTATAATGCATCATTTCCGAGATTTGATTTAACAGGTACATAATAATCAGACTTGTTTCATATATTAAGTTTTTGGATTGAGCATACACAGTGGAATTCAACCACAATTAATCATGTCTGGTAGCTATATACTGCTGATTGTGAAAGACTAGTTTGGGAGGGGACTATTCTCCATTCACTACAACTGTACATATTTTAATCCTTTCAAACACATCAAAAAAAAAACATAATTTTTTTTCTTATTGATCGAGATACATATTAAAGAAATGTTGATAATACCTAAAGCAAAATAGATTTATATCAGTTTGGTCGATAACTGACGGTGAAAATTGAAGAAAAAAAATATGAAAATTTGGAAAATCAAATTATGCCAGGAAAAAATAATGCCGTGAACAGATTAAGTATTTAGTTTAGCAGTTTTAGCATTTGAACCTGATATAAGCAGTGCACACCGGGTTTCACATTAGCTTCTCCTATAATACAAGATCAAAACTTTAACATTGATTGAAATAGCTACATGTGATGTACAACCCGCAGATTGAATGAATTTGTGTAAATTTAAGAGAATGGGAATACATTTGCATAATTAATGAGATTCTTGTAATGTCTTCAGACTTTTCAAATTCAATTAGGTGTCCTATTTATTTTTGAAAAGAGAGCACTGAATTACATTTGATATGACAAGCATACATCAATTTCTAGGAGACTTTTCAAGGAATTTAAAATATTCTGGAATGAGACTTCAGTGATATATTGAAGTCCTACATCATCTTCCAAGTAAGTATTATGGGATGTTTATGTACAAACTGCATAGCGTGAATGTGGATATTTGTTAACATAAAATGGAATACATACTAGTCAGGTGATATTTTAAGTTGTATAATAAATTTGAAAAATATATTTGGTTTGTATCTTCAACAATAAATGAGACCGATTAAATCCACAGTATCAATCATGAATTATTATACATGTACACCGATAAAAAAGTTTGTTTCTCTCAGTCCTAATTGACACAGTTGTTCTGGCAGCTTCAAAGTTACTTTTCCTCAACACAGGTAGTCATAAGTGCCTACCCAAAATGCATTTCCATTTCCATGGATACCTCAGTTAGAAAAACAAAATGGCAACAAGCATCTTCCTGCACAATGCATTGTGGTAAACCCTGCTACTTTGCAGTGCAATCTTACAAATGTACATTCATTTGGAACACAATATTGTATACACACAAGTGACAGTGTAAATGAGAATTCCCAGAGATGTAGTCCCAGCCATTACATGAATGATACAACCCCAGTGAGATCACAATCAATTGTGCAAATAAAAACAGTTATATTTCACTGACAGAGTCAAAAGGTGAAGTCTTCAAACTCTACTTCCAGTTAAATATGTTATTGCAGACATATTTATTTAAATCTAACAATCAAATAGTTACACTTCATCAAAAAATAAAGGGGTAGAAAATACAGGTGCGATTCAAGCTTAAGGGAGTTATTTATAATTATAGTTTTTCGTTAGCCAATCAGAAATTAGTAAAATATCAGCTCAACTAGGGAGTACTTACTTCACTGATCAAATCATATTTAACGATTCTTGAATTCAATTTCAATTATATAAGGGGCCTTGTATTGTTTTAGCCAATCAGGTTCAAGAAGAATACCAGTAGGGAGTTTCGCCTTCAAAAATGTTAGCCAATTAGATTACCTGATTGAAAATATTATATATCACTGTTCTGAGAGATGAAAACTTCATTACAAAATGCATACAGTCAGTGAAAATGTAACAAGTGAAATGTAAATCCATGCAATAAACAGCACACGCAGTCATCATGCACTTTGCTGTGCCAGGCATGCACACTACCTTCGTGTTTTCAGAGGAAACCTCATTTATTTCCATGGAAACTGAAACAGTCTCCTCATCATGTTCAATAACTTCAGATGGTTCTGAAGGTACTTCAGGAGTGGGTGGGAAAGAGTCAGGAACTCTATAGTAAATCTTCAACGGAAAATATTCAAAGAATTTGAAACAGAGAGTCATTTTTTTTTTCCAACCAGTGTTATGTTTGTTAGTTCCATGTCCAAAGAGTGATTAATGGCAGTGCTTTCAGCAACACACTTTGCGTAAATGTAGAGGAGTTGTCATTCGCAATGATTCCCAGATCCTGAAGCAAATAACCTAGCGATTGCAAGGATTATTTAAAACCAGGAATTAATCAACTTTAAGCTGATCACCTTGCTAACAAGCATAATGAAATAACCCAGTTTGGATCATATCCTAGTTATGCTACAATTTGTGAAAGCTTAAATTTTCTCCGCAATATCTTTTTTCCAAACATTTTGATGAAATTAGCAAATTAAGCCATGTGTGTTGGAAGATATCAGAGTTTCGAGGTAGAACTTCAATAAAATTCTTTCTCATTTTGTTTATTCAAGGTGGTTGGAGAAAAACAAGGAATGGAAAGGAGTGGAGGGAGAGGGGTAGGTAAACAAAGGAAGAGTGGTAAGAGTAGGCGGAGGGAGGGAAGTTGAGAAAGAATTTTCGCTTTACACATTCTATTCAAATTGGAAAAGACTTTTTGAATCAGAATCAAGTACAGGGGATATATAGGGCGATGTGCAACCTCCAATATTAAGTTAAATTAAAAACAAACAAATTTGATTAGTTCAAATCTGGTAAGTTTATATTATGGTGCTGTAAAACAATGTGCAGTGTGCCAAATGTGGAAACACAGTTATACAGTGAAAAAATGTGAAACACCTGAAATTACAGAAATATATGGGTGGGGTAAAAGACAAAACGGCACACTATTCTACCTCATCATAGTCGTCGTCTTCCTCATCTAGAAAGCTTAGTTCAGAGCCATCGATGTCCTTTTTAGCATGCAAGCAAGATATAAAGGTAAGACTCGTTATATTTGTACAAATGAGAAGAATAAATATTATGATTTGAAATGTACATATCAGTAGTGGAATGATGTGATGTGATGTGATTCGCTACCCTGGGTGCACCTGGCAAGCATCAATGTGAACCAATCAAATTGCAGCATGACCTGTTACATGTTCTGGTGACCAGTAGCCAGTGTGGTGACCCAGTGAATGTGCCAGATGCGAAAAAATGTGTTGTGCATTATATATACAATAAAGTACAGAAATGCATTTGGAGTTGGGGTGAACGTGAATTTGACTTTCAATTGATGAACAGTTTATCTTCAACAATATTTTCCAAATGTCCAGTCACATGTGAAAGTAAATGAATAATCATGCAGACTTCTGTTTATTACAAATAATTTTAGTCGAAATATTCCAAATATTTTGCATTTCAGTCATCTTTATTACACTGTTCATTTTTGTGAATTGCCAAACTGTTGATGTCTGTTTTAAAAAGTATACCAAAGCCTGATGTTTTTGCAAAAGACAAATTGGGCACATCAGGTCTGAAATAAACACAGACTTCATAAATGAACATTATTTGTGAAATGTGCGCATAATGTAATATCACTTAATAATGAGAGGTGAGAGCTGTGTGATCAGTTGGCCACCAGTGAATCAAAATAATAAATAATAAACGTACACTGGTATTTCCAACATTATGGGCATCGGCTGAATCATCAAAGAATAAGAACAGAAACAAATGCACAGGACGAAAGACGAAGTTGAAATATAGATATATGTTGGACGCAAACAATAAAACAAAACAAACAATACACAGACATAAACAAAATAAAGTTTGACACCAATTTTATCCCTCTTCCTGTAGTCATAACGAGTCATTCACTTTAAATATTATTTACAAATTATAAATCATCAAAACCAAAAATGTTGCAATTAAATAAAAATATTGTTGTCTGTTTCTGACAACTTAATTTATAAATCAAACTAATATAAAATTTATATATAGGGATATATTTGATTACATTGATGTGACTCGATAGGACAGGAAGAAGTTAACAAACCACCAAAAGTTACATAACTGAGTTATTTGAAAATTACTGCTATTTAACATGCATGTAAATTTTAATAATACTATATTTAAAAGCAAAAGATCTAAACTTTCATCAGGAATAATATTAAAATTTTCTTCAAAGCACTGTAAGGTATTAGTAAACACATGCTTCACAGTTGTGGCATGATACAAAACCTTAATGTAATAACTTTATACTATTTTTAATTACAACAAAATAAAAACAAAGTCATTTGCATAAACTTGATAGAGGGCGGTATCAACAATAAAACTTTTTTTATAGATAACATAAAATAATATTGTTTGATTATAATATGTTATCGATAAATCATAATTCAAAATAAAATAACACCTTCTAACAAGTCTAGATATATACAAAGGACATCTTATGTTAGCACCAAACCTTTTTAACCCACACCTTTATACAGAGGAATTGATATTAAACTACAAAAAATTTGTTTAAATTGCACAAAAATTGAACATCACCCCATGCAATTATAACCAGAAAAAAGTATCATTTGATAGCAGCCACAAATAACATAAAAAGTTAGTAAAATCAAACAAAGTATTAACAAAAATGAATCATCCTCATAGAGGAACACATGCTATAGGATGGGGGTAAAAAACAGACATAGTCTCGCACAGTTCATGTGGAGTGATTAAGCTGCATTTTTATTTTGTTCATAGAATTTTTATAATGACACACACTGCATGAAATCCAACATTGGTGTGATCACCATGGTTACTCAACATATATTCTAGTGTGGATTTGTTTGTACCAATTAAACACAAACAGATAACATTGCTTCATCATTCATTAACTTTATAAGTTAGTATATATCCACACTGCATACAATCATACACACTTGCATTTACTCTAGATAGGTATGGCTCAGATGAATTTTAAATGGTGCTGTATTGACATATTTTATGAGGCTTATTGATTTTTTAAAAACTAAAAAAAATGTACGAAATAGTGCAGTGATTGCCAAAAAAATGATTTGCGTCTCTTTGAATTTCCATTAAAAATCATGAGCTTAAAATGTGCATAATCTGAGACCTGTTTGGTGGACATGCAAGAAACTAAACAAAACTAAAACACCTATACCACCACTGCATCCAAATTAAGCTCGTCTCTGATAGTCAATCTTTTTAATACACAATACAATCATCCCAGGATATCAAACAATAGTTTTCTTCCTGTCAAAGGGCATATGCATATCATACATACATATATATATATAGTTTATGATTGGTTTAAAAAGAGTTCAAGAAATAGGAGTAGAGTAGGAAATTGGGTTGGTATTGGTGAAAATGTATACAATAGAAACAAGTCATTAGGATTTTCACAATCATTATTATTTCACATTTTTGTTATTTTGGAATTTTTTTTTTAAATTTCTGCATTTTTTTATTTTTGAAAAAGAAAAAGGACTTGAAAGCAAGTCAAAATGGATGCTGCATCTTGACAAGTTTAAGAACAACATGCACGTAAAAACCAGTAGAATGTCTTATCAGTAGAATCTGAAGGTTTTTTTTTTGTCAACAGGATGCATATACAGACAGACGAACACATAAAGACAGACGCACGCACACACACAGATGCTTGACACAGACTGGCATTAAGTATACATAATGATGTACATACACACAGACGACACACAGTCACATACACAGACGCGCAATGGCACTTATACATAAAGACTGATTCACATACAAGCAGAGACGCTTTAATACTCAGAAACACCCCAGCACTTG